TTGTAATGCTCTCATGGTAATACTCTAATGGTAATACTTTCATGATAATAATTTAGCGGAAATAATATGGTAACAATCTTACCGTACTGGCATAACAACGGCTGTCTTCCATATTTTCTAATAGTTCTGTTTGGAGTGATTTGTTATGCATGAGAACCCTGCCATCACAGAGCCTCTCCCTCTGCCTCCCTCTCCATGATGACACCGTATTTGGGGCTGTACCCCACTACAGTTCTGAGAGCCTTGAGCCTGTCTCTACATTGTTGATGTAACTTACTGACTGCAGTTGAGGTAAAAGATGGTGAGATCCTGGCTGGTGCCGCAGCCTTTTCCCTGCCTCCTTACTCCAGCTCTGGTTATCTCAAGAGATTTCCAGTGCTGGTTGGCTTGACACTATCTCCCTTAGTTACGGCACTTTTCCTTGCTCTTTCCATGTGTCTGCAGGAGACTAAATGTGTCTGCAGGAGACTAAATGTGTCTGAAGGAGTCTAAATGTATGTAGGAAGTCTAAAAGTGTCTGCAGGGGGCATTAATTTATCTGTGGGGGTATAAATATATCTGTAGGGGACTAAATGTGTCTGAAGGGGTCTACATGTGTCTACAGGGGTCTAAATGAGTCTGCAGGGGTCTAAATGAGTCTGCAGGGGTCTAAATGAGTCTGCAGGGGTCTAAATAAGTCTGCAGGGGTCTAAATGTGTCTACAGGGGTCTAAATGTGTCTGCATAGGCCTAAATGAGTCTACAGAGGTCTAAATGAGTCTGCAGGGGTCTAAGTGTGTTTTCAGGGGTCTAAATGAGTTTGCAGGGGTCTAAATGTGTCTACAGGGGTCTAAATGTGTCTACAGGGGTCTAAATGTGTCTGCAGAGGGTCTAAATGTGTCTACAGGGGGTGTAAATGTGTCTGCAGAGGGTCTAAATGTGTCTGCAGAGGTCTAAATGTGTCTACAGGCGTCCAAATGTGTCTACAGGCGTCCAAATGTGTCTACAGGGGGGTCTAAATGTGTCTGCAGGGGTCTAAATGTGTCTGCAGGGGGTCTAAATGTGTCTGCAGGGATTTAAATGTGTCTACAAGGGTCTAAATGTGTCTACGGGGGTCTAAATGTGTCTGCAGGGGTCTAAGTGTTTTTGCAGGGATCTAAATGTGTCTACAGGGGTCTAAGTTTGTCTACAGGAGTCTAAATGTGTCTGCGGGGGTCTAAATGTGTCTGCAGGGGTCTAAATGTGTCTGCGGGGGTCTAAATGTGTCTGCGGGGGTCTAAATGTGTCTGCGGGGGTCTAAATGTGTCTGCGGGGGTCTCAATGTGTCTGCAGGGGTCTAAATGTGTCTGCAGGGGTCTAAATGTGTCTGCAGGGGTCTAAATGTGTCTACAGGGGTCTAAATGTGTCAGCAGGGGTCTAAATGTGTCTGCAGGGGTCTAAATGTGTCTGCAGGGGTCTAAATGTGTCTGCAGGGGTCTAAATGTGTCTGCAGGGGTCTAAATGTGTCTACTGGGGTCTAAATGTGTTGCAGGGATTTAAATGTGTCTTCAGGGGTATAAATGTGTCCGCAGTGGTCTAAATGTGTCTACAGGGGTTTAAATGTGTCTACAGGAGTCTAAATGTGTCTGCAGTGGTCTAAATGTGTCTGCAGGGGGGTCTAAATTTATCTACAGGGGGTCTAAATGTGTCTGCAGGGGGTCTAAATGTGTCTGCAGGGGTATAAATGTGTCTGCAGGGATTTAAATGTGTCTACAGGGGTCTAAATGTGTCTGCGGGGATTTAAATGTGTCTGCAGGGATTTAAATGTGTCTACAGGAGTCTAAATGTATCTGCAGGGGTCTAAATGTGTCTAATGTGTAAATGGTTTGTGGCGTGATGCTAAAATTTTAAGGGATACAGGAGTATCCAATCTTTACTATTAGAGAGTGTTTTACAATATATATACAGTCTACAGAGACTGGGGAAGTAATAATTATACAGGGAATCACTGGAGAATTCCAGACTGTATCCTTGAGGAAAGTAAACCTTGAGTATGATTTTATTAAAGGCAAAAGTTTAGTAGGTGTTAGTCCTAAATTACCATTTGCTGGCGTTCATCTAATTGTGGGGTATGAACTTGCTGGTAATGACCACCCAATAATGCTAACTAAGCCAGAGGTGATTAGGGCACGGACTGATTCTGAGGACACGGTAATGTACTCAGCATGTACCGTGACCCAGTCTAAATCAGAGTCTCAATTAACAGAAACTTCCAATAGTGCAAGTCAGGAGACAAAAATAGAGGTTAACAAATCAAATAGTGAAGTGGATCTTTGTGACACTTTTATGGCCAAGGTGGAAGAAGCAGATGGGAACAGGATGGTGAGGTGTTCCCCATCTAGGGGAAAGGGGGTAGGGGAGAGTATATGACGACCACACACCCCAATTGTGACACGGGGATTCCACGCCGGGGCGCCACACGCCGTAATGGCCTTCATAGACGTAATGTACAGAGCTCGAGTAGAGTCTAAGACCTGAGAAAATCTTCTCCACTCTACTTAATCGATACTCTTTAAGTAAACTTACTTAACTTAACCCAACCCTACCTGACCTAATCTAATAAAAATATAAACATTTGTTTTATATAAGGTATGCACAAGGTACAGTGACGTCACTATGAAGTCATCATTTTATGTCAATTCAGGTATTAGATTCTACTGCGTATCTGAATGTTTCCTTCCTTTGGTTCCTCGGTGATATTCACATATGTCGCATATACTGATGTTTTCCTATTTATATGAGACTCTGGTGCTAGGCTATGGCTTATGTAACGTTTCTGATATTTTTGCATTTTGAGAGGTTTCGTCTTCCTTTCATTTCATTTTATTTAGTGGATCATCTTGTCATTTTCCCGAATATTATCATCTTCCATCTGTCTGGGTTCAAGTCTGATAATCATTTCACTGACCATCCCTCAAGTTCGTCAAAGTTGTCCTGCAGCTGTTTGCAGTTTTCAAGTGTTTTGAATCGTCGTGAATTTTGAATCAATTTCCTCTGTCAAGTAATTTCGGTATACCAAGAATATCAAGTTCATAGTAATAATCCTCGTGACTTCCCACTACTGTGAGCCATCTCATCTACCCGTAACAGTATCCTATCAGAAAGGTACTCTCTCATCCACTTTATTACACTTCCGGTTACCACTGATTTAGTCTTAAGTTTGTATAGCAAACTTGTGGGGAATTGAATCATAATCCTACAGACAGTCCACAATCCGTGCATGGAGTCTGTCTGCACGACCACTGTCGCATCCTCGTAGCAGTTTTCACTCGATTACCCATATTCGTGTCCCCCCCCTCCCATATCATGTGTTCGTATCCCTCACTAATATTCATGTCTCCCATATATTCATTTCCCTCCAATGTGCTCGAGTCCCTCCCATGTACTCGCCTCACTCCCATGTGTGTCTGAGCACCTGCCCAGGTGAAATCATGCCTCAGGGAATGAGAGGTCAAGGGCCTTAGTGATGCACTTGGGAGGCTGCCAGCCCCACGCCCTGTTGTGTTCACGTCCCACCACCTACACTGGTAATACGTATTATATAATATTAGTAATAATACAAATAATAAGTGATAAAATATTAATATAACAATAATTATTATTAGGTAATAACAATAATAATGAGGTATTAGTATATATATATATATATATATATATATATATATATATATTACTATGCAAGGCCCAATTTGCCTAATAAGCCAAGTTTTCATGAAATAATTGTTTTTCGACTACCTAACCTACCTAACCTAACCTAACTTTTTCGGCTACCTAACCTAACCTATAAAGATAGGTTAGGTTAGGTAGGGTTGGTTAGGTTCGGTCATATATCTACGTTAATTTTAACTCCAAAAAAATAAAATTGACCTCATACATAATGAAATGGGTAGTTTTATCATTTCATAAGAAAAAAAATTGAGAAAATATATTAATTCAGGAAAACTTGGCTTATTAGGCAAATATATTTTCTAAATTTTTTTTCTTGTGAAATGATAAAGCTACCCATTTCATTATGTATGAGGTCAATTTTATTTTTTTGGAGTTAAAATTAACGTAGATATATGACCGAACCTAACCAACCCTACCTAACCTAACCTATCTTTATAGGTTAGGTTAGGTAGCCGAAAAAGTTAGGTTAGGTTAGGTAGGTTAGGTAGTCGAAAAACAATTATTTCATGAAAACTTGGCTTATTAGGCAAATTGGGCCTTGCATAGTAGGCTGAGAAGTGCGTTCTGGCTACTAGGTACGACATATATATATATATATATATATATATATATATATATATATATATATATATATATATATATATATATATATATATATATTGGTGTATACTGGCAGCAGGTTTTCTTTTAAACATGTCTCACTGAATATGACCGCATATTCTGTATTTACTATTTTCTGATTTAGGGCTTCTATCCCTCTATTTTCTTAGCATCAGGGCTTAGCTGAAATAGGAGTTCTCCAAAACTCATTTTCGTAATTTTAAGGTGAAGAAAAGAAGTGAATTAATATAGAATGTATTGCAACTATTTATACAATTTGCACAACGTTTCGAACCTCCATGGTTCATTCTCAAGTGAAAAGAATTTTCAGGTTTGGTTGATTTTATACCAGCACTGGGTCAGGTGATAAGACAATAAAGGTGAAAATATGGGGGATACATAAGAATAGAGGTAACTGCGGAAGGCCTATTGGCCCATACGAGGCAGCTGCTATCTACATACAAAGATTAATCAAGTGTAATTGGCCTGTTATGTTGAACGGTATCTTCTGTGTTGGCATCGTTGTTCTGAACATAACAATGCCAACACAGAAGATACCGTTCAACATAACAGGCCAATTACACTTGATTAATCTTTGTATGTAGATAGCAGCTGCCTCGTATGGTACTAATACTGGTACTACCACTACTACTACTACCAGTGATAATACTGGTACTACCACTGATAATACTGGTACTACCAAGAATAATAATAATAAGGTAATTTCTAGTAATATGAAGCTGCACTTAGGACTTAATGAATCAAGGATGAATCAAGGGGAAAGTATCGAAGCTGACAGACACTTGGATGAGCAGTTGTGGAGTTTGGATAAGCAAGATAGGGAGTTTTTCTTGGTCAAGAAATATTTGGGGAGGATGGTGAAAGGAGAATCTGGATCAAGTTGTAGGAAGAGCAACAATAGGTGGGAGTATTGCGGGTCGCTGGGGGTGAAGGGACGGGTGGAAAGCGAGCATGGAGCTGCCCCAATATATATAGTGGTGTAAGGTGGAGGAGCCAGCAGTGGTGACGGGTCCAGGGTCGAGGTAACACCGCTGCGCATCACCATAAATTACCATCGAGCTCTTTCAGCACTGGTCACGAGCTCCCTCAACGCCAGAGCGTGACACACTTAACAGATTGATGAAGATTAAGCTACCCAAGTGGTGGCACGGGCATGAATAACCCATAAAGACTATTAGTGAGAGAGGTAAGTAAATCGCCTAAGCCAGGCTCATTCAAACTGTTTTATATGAGAAAAACTCTAATATTTGCTAGTATAAAAATAATATTGAGAAGGCTAGGTATTTTTTTGTTTTGTCAGCAACAACTCTGTCCTTGTGTTGTTTACCACAATATATGTCGTTGTCACCACAATATATGATGGTGACTCAAACCGACCTTGGCTGCAAGACAACCAATGTACGTCGAAGGCTCTTTGTTATTCAAAAATATTAAAAATAATAAAATTTTCAGGACCAGGTGGAGTAGCCAGAAGATTCCGTGGCGTCTTGCAGGTTGAGAACCCCAGGCTACCAGGGACCCTATAACCCCCTCCCTCACCGAGACCTGCAGCGTCATGCTTCACTTCTTGCAGGTAGTGTTGCGAGTCTCTGGCTTCCTGGCAGCCACTGTCGCTACCACACTCAGTTTGGAACATATTGTTATCGACGAGCAGGTTGTGTTGATTAAAACTTGTAATTAACTTGCCAGAGAAGAGGAGTTGTTCGTGAGACTAAGGTCTACTGGACTAGGCTTAAAGTTGGTTAGGAATGAAATTGGTCGTTGAAGAGTGAGTGACCTTCCTTTATCACAACTGGAGAGAGGTCAGGTCTGGTGGGATGTCAGTAGGTGACGGTGAGGGATTATCTACTATACTTTAGTTTTATGATGTATTCACTTAATAAGAAAGAGTAATACTGTTGAGGAATCCTTCAATATATTTTATGGTGTTGTGGTGGTGGAAAGCAGCAGACTCACTACCCAGTCTCCTAGTTTTATTGTTTTCTACAATGCTGAGTTTAGCATCCTGAAGTTCATGAGGTGTTGTTGCTCCTGGTTCGTGTGTGTGTCACAAGTGTTGTTGACGCAAGATAAATACGTCGGTTCGTAAACTTTTGCCTCGGAGTGTTTCAGTGATGTTTACATTACAACTCTTACATTGTTAATAACAACTCGAGTGTGTGATGGTGCTGTTGACGAGGACGCTGACTATACTGGAAGTCCTGTGCATATTCCCTATATTGCACGGGCTCACCATAGCCCGTGCTACTTGGAACCTCGTTCCAGGTAGCGAATCTTTGACAACAACAACCATCCTATATTGTCTGTATTGTAAGTGCTGGTTAGGTTTGTTGTCTGTCCTCTGGGAAGAATGGCACGCTGCTCCGGTTATATTTTGTTAGATGATCATTTTTGTTGCTCGGTTTTTGCATTCTCTGATGAAGGATTCAGGGAACAGGGTATTTGAAGTTGAGGAAGGAATCAGTGATGTACGAGCACTTGTCAAGGAACTGCTGGATTCCTGTCTTCAAAACTCTATGATAAATCCGGTTATTGTGTCTCCTTCATCATGCTATGATGGTAGAGTAAATACTGAGGGGTTTTATAGGACGGTTTGATGTAAACTTTGAGTTTCAGTGAGTCACTGTCAATCTTAGTTTATGTCTAAGATAGGGTGTTATCTTTAATTTTTGTAATTAACTGAAATGTAGGTTACATCATTACGTCAGTTGCTAACATTAGTCAGGTGTATATGTCGTGCTTTTATAGTTACGATATCATCAAGATAACGAAGTCATCCCAGTGCTCGTGACGATGATGGAAAATGGTCATGCCTCCAGAAATTCCATGAATAAATTAGGAAACAACATTAATAGGAGACCATTACTGAAGGATAACTACCATTCTACCATCCTCCGCCCTGCAATGATGCCATTGACCTGGCAGACCTATTCATACATTGTAATTACTAACAAGGCTCTCAGTTCTATCGCCAACAATTTGGCACGACAAATTAGTGCTATCGTTTCCAATTTATTCATGGATTCTCGCAACAGGACCATAGTCCAGCATTGTCACAAGTGCTGTTAAATGGCTCCGTCGTGTACCATTGCAATAACTGAGGTGAAGAGTGAAGATGATGTGGTTGACTATAACGTAACACTGGTGATGCTGCAGGTGGTGTGGGTGGCAGCAGTCATGTCCCAGGCACTGCTCGCAACATCCTTCCCACTCTCGGTGAGTCTTATATCAACCCGGTTTATTTGAAACATATCAGAATGTTAAATTTTGTCTCAATACTGTCCATTATCTAATTTAAATTTATAAAGGGTGGTAGAAGACAATATGTGAGTGCACGTTGGAGCCCCACAAGGCTCCTCCGGGTGCTGCCTATCCTCTTCTTCCAGACTGAGGGTCCCTACACAGTCTGTCCTTACGCGAGTTCATAACGTCACCCTACAAACCAGAGATGGTACCTCTTTGGTACCACCTATTATATATATATATATATATATATATATATATATATATATATATATATATATATATATATATGTATATATGTATATATTTTATATATATATATATATATATATATATATATATATATATATATTTATATATATATCACTTGATCCCGAGGAGTCTTGACTCAATCCCCCCCCCCCCCAAGAGCGAGAGACGATAGCTTTATCAACTACACTAAATATTAAACCACAAGCAAATATTAAGCATTTGTCCAGTTAATCAAATATAAACTTGAAATAAACGTTAAGGTATAAAAACTACGTTGAATGATGGAAATATTCACCTCTTTAGTAAAGCTTTCCTGAGCAACACAAGGTGTTTTTATTAATTACTCTACATTGCATTTCTAACGACTTCACTGATATATGCACACGTAAATATTCCTGTATTTTGATTCGTTTGGAAGTTTAATAAAAAAACGCATTCAGTCCACAGACGAGTTCCCGGGTGGTCAGGCCGGCCACGTCCCTCATGCCCCCCCGACGACAGCACGTCCAGATCATCACGAAGGAACTATTAACCCCATAGCAGTCATAAGACCCATCACATACCCTACTCCATTCCCCAGACCAGCCAAATAGAAGTTCCTGTACATAGAAAAAACCTGCTTTTTCTAGACCAGCTGGAGGACCTAATATATCTTAAAGGTACGCGGCGGATGTAAGATTACAGCACCCTGCTGCTGTTTTCAGCACAAGCTGACGTTGCATTCCCAAACACCAACAAGAAGTAAATAAGGTTGCACTTTCCAAGCCAACTCCAGGTTCCAAAATTATTAATAAACAATTCTAGGATATGATCCTGTAATTATCGCGGCTGAATTATCCTGCCGCTTTTTCTGAACCACCTTTAAACCAACATTCTACTTCAGAACTTCCCAGGGATCCATGACCAGTTGCCAGGCTGCCCTGAGGCAACCGAGGCGATGCATGGCGTCGCCCTGGTACTGTACTGCAAATATCTCACCGATTCATATTAATACCTGTCTAAATGTCTAAATACTCTAAACACCTGTGATTGCTATTAAAGTCTCGCAATTATTTTATATAAATCTTATTAAGAACTCTGCAAATATTCTCGACCCTGGGCATAGGTTGGTGCTCTTAAGTAACTAACGGCATGTAAACTTACCTGTTGTTCCTTGAATATATTTATCATAAAAAATAACTAAAGTGTGTTTACTGTATTTGTTTTCCCTTCCAGAAATAGGTTTTTGATGTGAGTAACTTGTTCTCAGACACTGTACGTGTTGGTGACACTAGGCTATTGCTACTCGCTCACTTGGTTTACAATTTGGCGTCACGTGATTTTTTTGTTAACTTCTATTTATATTTTCGAGGACAAGCTCTTTGATAATGATGTAAGGTACGGAAGGGATGGGGCTTATCTCCCTAGGACAGGGATGGGGTTTATTTCCCTAGGATAGAGAAGGTAATTTACAAAGTTCAGTAGAGGAGTTTGAATTAAAGTCCGACAAACCCAGCAACAATGTACGTACTGGCCAAGTCTTAGGTGTCTGCTGGTGAATGGCAAATGAGTTTTAATGTTGAAAATGCAAAATAATACACCGGGATGATTGTGTAGCCATGTGTTGACACGGGTATTTATTTGAACAATTTATGCGTGTATCAGTATGTGAAGCTATAGCGCAATAAGGTATGGGATACTTGATCACTACAAACACATAATGGCATGTCTGGTGTGGTCAAGCTGATGACAATATAGTACACACACTTCTTTGAATATTATGTTATGGATATTACAAAGTCTATTGTAACGCTAAACTTATTTTTCACTATTAGTTTAAATATCATGGCCATTATTAAGTACAAACGCACTATTAACAACAATAAACTCATAACACACTAACACGCGGGAACAATAAATAGACAGAATGAATTGACATTAAATACAAGAGTGCATCAGAGGCTCAGGAAACTAACTACAGATCCAGCCGTAGTGACTGACAGCAGGCGTCAGTTAATTGGCCACCTGTGGACGCTCCTCCTGCTGCAGGTCGTCTGGTGAGGCAGCTCAAGTCTCACCTGTTGGCCTTCAACTTCCTCACCTGGATATTAGAATTGCAGTTACTTGTGGTATTCGAATCCTTACGATGTGAACATAAGAGCCCACTTAGTGGTGGACACCAAGATGAGATTTTAGCGTTTGAAGAAAACTATTTACAAAGAAGAGGGAATTCTGGGTGTTACCGAGCACTAAATGCAGTTATTTGTGATGATAAACACACGAGCAGTCACCAGACTTAGATGGCGTATTGGCAGACAAATCGTTGATTTAGATGGCATGGCATGTCGTTGAGGACGGGATGCCAGTCACTCCTGAGGGTGAGACATTGTTCCACTGGCCTGTTGTCATTGTCAGGCTGTCTGTTGCCCCAGTCAGCGCTATCCACCACCTCCCCGTTCACCCAGCGCCATCCACCATCCAGACCCAGATCCATTCCTCCGATCCATACCCCTTTCGGCCCTGGAAATAGTACAGAGACGCATGAAATCATTTCTCTAGTAGGCCAATAAAGCATTAGGATGAGTGGATGAGTATCCAGCACTTGAAGTTTGGGGAAATAGGGTGTATGTGTATTTTCCTTGAAGCACTTACCTAACACCGTCTTCAGAGTAAAGCTTGAGCTCCTGAGCCGTCATTCCAACTGTCGTTCATTTAAGCAATGACTCCCGGCTACTTTATTCTTGTTATATGTGCTTGAAAAACTACAGTTGGAGGAAGCCTCCACTATTTTCCCCTGTAGTTCGTTTCATTTACTGACAGACCACACACTGAAGATGTTTCCTCACATTCCTGCGTGTCTAGCCTAGTCCTCTCGCGCTACGCTGTTTTTTTTTTCCATGGATATTCCTGCGCGGGCCCTAAGCCTCTGACTGGCCCACTAAGTGTTGCTTGTTTCTGTTTTACTTGGGCGGAGTATAAGTATTTATGACTCGTATGGTCGCTTCAGTAAGATTTTGGTCCATATGTTTAACAACTTCTTCGGCTCTGTTGAATCTAAGTTGAAATCTTAATGGGTTTGTAACTCTCCTCCTCTGTGTTAGATAATGTTCCATTGGTCTGTCGGGCTCTACGCTGCTCCTCACCCCTACATTAAACATTCCGTCTCTATAGCCTGAATTTCAGCGATTTTTTTTTTTTTAGAATCATAACTGTCTGGATCATGTCTTTTCAATTTAAATTTTCTTCCTATGTCGTTGAGCTTAACTTTTTCAGTTTATCCTAGTAAGTCAATCTCTTTAACTCTGGAACAAATTATACTTCTGTACTTTCTTAATGTTTGCACAATACTTTTGGAGGTTGAGGCTCCACACAGGTGCTACAGTCTAGCACTGGTCGAACATAGGCTGGATGAAGCATTTTAAATGCATTTGTGTTGACGTTCGTGTCCTAATGTCCGCCAGCTTAGCACGTGTGCTGATGCGAGTCTATTAATGTGCCGCCAGAAATAGATTCGGTGTTTCTACTTCAACATTTTGTTCTCGCTGACCATGTTATTCCTCCCTCTCATTATATATAAAATATATATATATATATATATATATATATATATATATATATATATATATATATATATATATATATATATATATATATATATATATATATGGGACCTAAAAAGGGGGTCCCGGTAGTACAGTCGGGTTCGTTCTCGACGCACAATCGAGAATTCCGGGTTCAAATCCCGGGCGGGACAGATATGGTTGGGCATATTTCCTTTCACCCAATGTGTCTGTTCACCTAGCAACAACTAGGTACTCCGGAGTTAGTCAGCTTGTTG